GGAGAGACAGGGAAGATGCAGCGGGTCTGAAAGAGGAGCTATTGGATCTTCTTTATACTACAAATGTAAACCATTCTGAGAAGCTGCACTGAGAAACAGAGGTGGTTGAAACATACAGGCTTCCAGGCTGGGCAGCTACAAGTATACCAGGTTAGCAGGTACTCAGCTCCAGGCTTTCTTGACCAGATGGCCAGCAGCACCCTGGCTCGCTAGCTTAAAACTAGTTCAGATGGGATTATGCTGATTCCAAAGCACAGCAGCACAGTCACACCCACAGTTCAAAAGCTCCATCTCCTAAGAGCAGCACACAGATAAGCAGGAGATGACACAGCGTGCTTGATAATTTAACAAAATAAAAATGTAAAGCTGCAGACAGATTTCTGGTAGAACTGGATGCTGCATGACGACAGCATTCTCTGAATTAGCATCAGTCCTGCTTATGATTATCTGAGCAGAACACTTCCCTACTTCCCATCGTGCTTCACTGCACAACCCAAAGCCACTGCACACCAGCCAACAGTGCTGGAGCTCCACCTAGCAGGAAACCAGAAAACTTCAGGCAAAGGCAGTACCTTGGAACTGTCTGTATTAAGAATCTGAGATCTAATGCCTCTGCAGCTGTCCTTTGCTTTCGATTCACTTGGCAAGAGTCATTAAAGCACAGAACATAATGCATGTGAAATGCATCATCCAGCAAGCCAAAGAAATAAGCATCGGGGTAGAAAAAAGTGTCTTGTCACTGACCCAGCAAACATACACGTAAATATCATGTAAAATAAAAACATGCAAGCCAAACAACGTGCAGAGGATGAAAGAAACATCTGCTTTTCAATAGAGCAGTGGGAACTCTAAAAGATGTGGCCCAAATTTTACCTCATTTTCTGTGCCATGTAGAGGTGAACACAACAACCACAGTCCATGGTAGGCCAGCTCAGGGACATACTTGGCACGAGTAATGTTCCTAAACAGAGAAAGGCAGAGATATCTTCATCTGTCAAGTGAGAAACATCTACTACAGCTACATGTGGTCACTGACTGGAAAACATTCAATATTCACTAAATGTTGTTTACTGTTAGCTAGGTGGAACACATCCTAATTATTTCGAGTAAAAGAAATCAATGCTTTCATTTTGGTATAAGCAAGATAATAACAACCCAAGCATTGAGGGCTTTACTTTTTAAAGCAATGTTTAAACAGTCAGAATCAATTGCTCACATTGTTGCTGAAAACTCAAACTCGCGTTCCACTGGCTCAAAGTTTGTCATTTCAACAAAAGTCTGCAAGGAAAGAAAGCCAAACTTAGCTAATTCGCATGAGGACAAGCTGTGCAGGTCTGCATGGATGCCAGAACAGAGAACGTGAGCCTTTCTAGCTTTGAAACCACCACCCCTCAGTCAAAGCAGAACATCAGCAGGCTCCAAAGCCTGCAGGCTCAATACTTTGCATCTCTCCTCCAGCTACAGGGAGGATTGATACCTTATAATGGAACACTAACTGCCAGCTTGCAGTAGCCAGCAAATGCTAAGCATGAGGGACAGCCACAGAGCAGACAACCTGCCTGAGCTTCACAGACAGCAATCTACTTGGGGGGGCAGCTCATGAAAGGCAGCACTGCCCACGTTCTGTGGCCATCCAGTGTTCTGCACTGCCTGTTTGTGCTGGGGGACACAACGTTCTGCTCAAGGAATCTCATTACCTGCAGGCAGTTCTGGAAGCACTGAGGTTTTTCTTTTAGGGAGAACTTTGGTAGAAACCTTAAGAAGTTTTGTAAAAGAAGGAAGATTGCTTTGCGAATTTGCAGAAGATCATCTGTTGAAAAGTAAACGTTCTCATGATCCTCTTCCTCCTCCTCTTCAAATACCTCTTCCATCTGTATTGGTAGGTAAGAGAAACAGAATCACCCCATCCTACAGCACTGACTGATCTCTCTCACACATTTTAGTGCTTCCCAGAATTCCCAGGCTAGGTCCTGCAATACCTCATACCCAAAACTCTCAATCTTTTTCTTCAGGTTAGTGAAACACAGTAACAGCAAAACAGACAACAGGATGGAGGTTGGATACAAGAAAGCTCCACCAGAGCTTATTCTCACTGCAAAGATTTTAAAAGATAAAGTCCTTCAGAACCAGAGACTGCCACCTCAGTTCTAATCTGACACCTGGAAATCCATCCCACAGTGGTTGCCATGCTATCTGCTCTGTACTTCCCTTGCCTGTTCTCTCAGGATTTCTGATGTGAAATCCTCAGTGCCACTTAGAAAAACAACCATACAAACACCAGAATTGTCAGCTGAGTACAGCTAAACACAGCACTTAGCCCTCAACACCCCAGCAGTAAGGAAACTCAGCTGCTACTTGTAACCTTGTTGAGTTTCTTGAAGATGATACCAATTAGTTTTTCTCTCTGCTACTGAACTGTCTAACAGCACATAACAGACATACAAGCTTTATTGTTCTATTAGTCAGCAGCCAAAGAACTGCAGCTGATGTTGAATCATCACACCTCTAGAAATTCCTAACAATAGGTAGGGGATTGAGAGCAGAGATCAACAGCTGAATAAAAGGTAGACGAAAAAAAAACAGGCTGAAAAAGCAAGGAGAAGCATTACACTGACCTAGAACTGAAATAGCTTGCCAATGATTTGCTTGCTAATAGAGATCTGTATCTGAAGATTACACAAACATCTTACACTGGAGGTGCCATTCCTGTTTGCCATTCCTTTTCTTCTGTTTCTTCTTGCATTGGTCTGAGAGCTTTCAGCATGCACCTTCTTCCTCTTCCTCATCAGATTTTGTCCCTGAGGCCAGCATTTTGTCAGGGTTTGAAGACATTTATCAAACATCACATCATGGAACATCTGATGAGCAATACTGCCTGTCCAGAAAAGGAAACGTGAGCAATCTTCTGGACACAAAGAGTATTAACGCCTTCCAAGAACAAACGATGCTTTATTCAACAATAAGGAGGTGAATCCTTTCACTCACCTGGAATTTCAAGCAGTAAGAAGTACAATCCAGCTGCATGGAGAGCATAAACCCTCTGTTGTGCATTGGCTCTTTTATTCAGGCCTGTTTGGACAAAGTGGTGCCACACAGCCACAAGGGCATTACGAGAGAGGTTGTTTTCAACAAACAAACGCCAGATATTCTAAAACAAAATACAAGAACAACAGTAAGAAACCCAATAATAACACACCTCTCTACAAGGATATCCACAAAGGAAAAGACCTTAATTAGAAAGGTACAACACTGACTGCAAGAAAAGTGTTTATCCAGGGAACAGACTAATTAAAAAAAAATTAAATATACTTCTCTTAAATAAGCCAAACCATATGAAAATCACCTTCCATGTGATGTACAGCAATAATAGCAGCTTGGGCTGCAGCAAATGAAAACAAGCCCAAATGAGCAGCTGTGGATACAGAAACAAAGGAAAAATATTTGCTTACCAATGGAAGGCATCAGGTAGGCAGGAATCTCTATAGGGACCCCCTTGCCTCTACAGCTAACCCTTCAAATGAGGTCTGGGAAGGGGTGGATCCTGGCTCCACCCCTTCTCATCACTCAGATACATTGCATACACCTGAGCTCCCCTGGGTTGGCCCTGCCTTCCCACCAGGTGCTCCATCACTGCTTCAAGCTGTGACTCAGCATTTCTATTACACACATGCGTTAGAATGCACAGGCAGAATATAAGAAATTCAGGTAAAGGACGCACAGAATGCTTTCTCATGCTCTATTGTAACCAACTGCAGAAAAGGGCTGCCCCAAAAATAACACCTCCTATTTTCTTATGCTGGCTCCCAACATCAGAGGCAGGTGTTGGTGGTATGGCTGTAGAGGCTGAACCTTCCCATCACTATTTCAGTAAACTGTGTTTGCATATATATTTTAACACACAAAGAGGCTCCATCTAAAACATTCCAGTGAGTATGTCAGATGAGAGTCTGATGGTAGAATATTGCTGTGAGATTCAAGACAGGGCAAACTGAGCAATAAAAAGGTACAGAGCCTCTGCTGAGCAGCACAGCCCACTGCCATCCATCCACCTCACCCCTCTGCTCTTGTCATCCCCAGTGGCAAACGGTGCAAGCGCCTGGTACAGAGAGCTGAAGGCACCCAGCCCATCCTCTGTGATCTCCTCTTCAATGCGGGGATCCAACGGTTCCGTCTCTGTGAAATCCAGGTCCCAGACCGTGCTCACCCACACTAAAGGGAAAAACGGGTTTAAGCAAATCAGATAAGCAGGCAAACACTTCAAACAAGCGGAGAGCACAGCAGCCACACGGAGCGGTAGCAGAGAGCACCAACCCCATAACCCCCCCAACGCCATCCCCCAGTGCTCACTGAGGCCCGAAGGCAGCACACATCGTCCTCAGACGCCGCCGCCGCCACCCCTTCCCTTTTCCCCTCACGGTGTTATCCAACCTCACATCGCTCTCCTTTCCCCCTGCATGGCCGCCCCGGCCCTCAGCCATTACCCCACTGCCACCCTCTCACCCTCACGGACGTCCCGCAGCCGCCACTCCGCCACAACGCGCGGCACTTCAGCCTCCACCGCCATCGCGCCGCCGCGCTTCGAACCGACCAATCGCGCGCCGCCTCCCGCGCCAGCCAATCCCAGCGCTTCCGCCTTCAGCGCGCCTGCACGCTGCGCACACCGGAAGCGCGACACCACGGGGCCGCGCGGCGCCTGCGCACGAGGGGAACGGGCGGGGAGCGCGCCGCGATTCCCGGCCCCGAGCGGACGGCGCATGCGCGGTGTGCGACCCGGGCCGGTACCGTGCGCTGCGAGGCGGGGACGGCGCTCGAGCGTGGGGGGCTGCGGGGCCGCGCCCGCCCGCCCGCTCCGGGCTCGCTGCAGCTGAGCCGGTCCGGAGATCCCCGCCCCGCAGGTCCGCCGTGTCGCACCGGCATTCGCCGTCCGTGCCGCATTGCGGCCCCTCCGCCCCAGCGGTGAGCGCCCGCCGCCCGATCCCGGCGGTTCCCGGCCGCCGTCGGCCCCTCCGCGTTCTCGTCCCCGCGGGGCTCTGTCCGCGGTGCCGCCCCCGCCGGCACAATGAGCTTCTTCGGGTTCGGGCAGAGCGCGGAGGTTGAGCTGGTGCTGAGTGACGCTGAGAGCCGGCGGCGGGTGGAGCACAAAACGGAGGAGGGCAAGAAGGAGAAATACTTCCTTTTCTACGATGGGGAGACCGTGTCCGGCCGGGTCATCCTCACCCTGAAACACCCCAACAGGCGGCTGGAGCACCAGGGCATCAAAGTGGAGTTCATCGGGCAGATCGGTGAGCGGGGCTGCGCGGTGGCGGTGCGGGGCGGCGGTTCCGCACGTGTGCCGGGTGCTGAAAGTGGGTTACGAGTTGCACGGAGAATCCCCGCGGCCAGCAGCCCGGCTCCTCGCTTACAGCTCCAGGCCTTTTCCAGGTCGTTTCTTTGTCCTGTTTCTTTCCCTTCTGCTCAGTCACTGATGTAAATCCCTTGATAAATATGCACTGAGATGGTGTGAAATTCGGTGTAAAACTCCATCCTGCAGGCTCAGGGCTTGGCTGGAGGGCCTGGTGCTGACAGCTGCTCGGTAGCACTCTCCAGACTGTGTCCATTTGCCACTGCTTTGGTTAATGCACGGCGTGATGATTGCTGTGTGCCCGTTGGTCTCCACGCAGCAGCGACACTCAGGGCAGAGGATGGCAAATCAGGTGGTTTTCCATGTGCATTTCACATCCCCAACTGCACCTTCTCCCCCTGCTCCACCGTGCATAGCAGTGCTGCAGCTCAACTTTCCTGAACCCTATGAGCTGTGCCATGCAGCGTCCATCTCCAGCTCTGCTCTGCTTCGCCCTGATGAGCACACATCATGGCACAGACAGGCCGCTGACTTTCTGTTGCTGGCAGCCAGCAGCTCTATGTGCATGTCCCCAATTTGGATGTAAGCATCTCCTGCGTGCTTGGAGGCTGCCACACCCACTCCTCAATCTGATGGTGACTGCAGCATTTCACAGCCGTGGCTGAGATCCACAGCCAGGGTAACTCTGAGATGTCTCACAGCATCACTGCTCTGTGCTGATGCACGAGCTGAGCCATGCATGTGTGATACTGTGCCCTTCTGCACTCAGGTTTAACCCTGAAAACACAAGCTTGCAGCCTTTGCACTGTGAATCACACGCTGTAGGAAATGGAACTGGAGATGTTCCTGCTCAGAGATGTTTTTTCAGTTCTTTTTCCTGGCCTTGTTTGTGCGTAACGCCCTCTGTAAAGGAAGGATAGGCTGAGAGAGCTTGTGAACGCTCGAGTGCAGGTGAGCCTGTTGCTCAGAGGGAGCTGAAGGCTTCCTGCTTCGTTATGATCCTCGGTCTGCTCCACTCCATGCTGCCTTGCATGCCTCTTTTCCCCCATTTTGGATATATTTGGAACAACACCCTTGAATTAATACGCATGGCCATAGGCAGTGTGTGCTCAGAGCTGCTGTGTCCTTTGGTTCTGCCCTTTGTGCTGGTTAAGGTGTGGAAGCTGGTATTGCTGATGGCACTCCCTGCATGCTTTCCATCTCAACACAGCTCTCCTTCTGTTCGGACTCCTCGTTGCCATGAGGTCAGCACGTGTAAAACATGGGTTACCAGCTGAAGGGCTGAGATGTGGGGATGGGGCACAGGGAGTGCAGCAGTTCCAGGCTGAGTGCTGGAGCCCAGCCTGGGAGCACAGAACCTGTTGAAGATTTCAGTTCACCTGCAGTTACTGTGCCTTGAGTGTGCCAACCAGATGTTGGCAGGTTGGTTTTTAAACCTTTCAGCTCCAAAAGCTGAAATTGCAGCTTATACCTGTTTGACATGTGGAAATCTTCAAAAGTGTGGGAAACATCAGTTCTTTCTCTTCAAGGTGCCAATCTCTGCCCTTCTGAGCTGGCAGAGAACGTAGCAAGCTGACGTTCACCTCTCCTTGCCTCCTGCATCGTGTGGGAAGATGATATTCATTCCTTCTTACGTGGCACGAGGCTTTTCCATGTCACATCAGTGAGCAGTGAGCACTCCCCTCCCAGTGGGCACATGTGGCACTGCTGCCCCACAGCTGATCTGTGTGTGTCACCCTGCTGCCCAGCCTGATGAGCTCCATGGTGCTTCTGTGTACATCTCAAGGAGCAGAGAACTGAATCTTGCTGCTGTTCCTGAACTCTTGCAGTCCATCCCAACAGCCTCTTCTGCACAGCTCAGTGCTGATGGTAAACCTGTGTGTGCAATTCAGTTTTTGCTTTCTCATCAGAACGTATCAGCTTGGCTGAGGCTTTACTTTTGGGAAGGACTGCGTGGGTGTCTTGCATTCACACAGCTCACTCACAGGGCTGGGAAGGGCAGATTTCATTGATGGTTATGCGTAATACACAGCTGCAAATGGAAATTGTGGAGTTTAAGTTGCTGTTGCTCTGACTTGGGAGAGAGAAGTTTGTTAAATGTAGAAGGAATTGTGCATTAAAGGAGGAGCCTGCAGTCCCATGTCATGCAAGGAGCTTGCGTGGCAAACTGGAGCAGTGTGACCACATGAGTTGAGCTGGTTTGGGCAGTGCTCCCAAAGGTGAATGCTCTTCCTTTATTGATGTTTACCTGTTCTCTCGGGGCTGATGGACACACATGTTTGGTTGCTATGCACTGAGCACTGCCTAAGTGCAGAATCAGTGAGGATCTGTGCTGTTGTTGTTCTCTGGTGTGAATCAAAACTGAAGCAGCACCAGCTGGAAGCATCCTGGCACTCCATTTTTGCTCTGTCACTGCTGCTCCATAGAAGCAGTGGTGTTTTTCCTTTCGTTATAGTGCCTATGCCTTTGGCCTTGAGTATAAGGCTGTGTAGGAAACGATGAGAGCTGCTGAGTGTTTGCTGGCCTTCTGTTCTGAATGCATTGCTGTTCTGCTTTGAATTATGCCTTAAGCACATATAAGAGCCAATGTCTTCTGGCGTAAAGGTGATGCAAGCTGTAGGGCTGCTCTGAGTGTAGATGAGCGTGGGAAAGGTTAGCAGTAAATCAAGTAAATATGCCAGGAACCTGAGCTGGTACAGAACAACTCCTTTCTTATTCCTGACTTTGGCATCACTGTGAAGAACTGCGTTCAGTTCAGGCATCCATTAATGTGTGTAGCTCTGCTGACTGGTAGAGCGAGCAAATCACTAATTGTGCCTAAGCAGCAGCTTGCTGTACTGGCTCAGTGGTTGCCACACACGAGGATCCGGCTGTCCCAGCCACAGTGGTGGCATGTGCTCAAGTTCTGGCCTACATGGAGAGCAGTGAACAAGTGCAGTGTGCTGCAGCCAGGGGCTCCCCCAGCAGGTTCTCTGGGCAGTGCTAATGATCTGGACATGAGCGTGGTTCATAGCTGTGAAATCTACATATCCTTACTGTGTGTTGTTCCTTTAACATGGACTTGAATCTTCCTAGAGCTCTACTATGACCGAGGAAACCACCATGAGTTTGTGTCCCTGGTGAAAGACCTGGCCCGTCCTGGGGAATTCACTCAATCACAGATATTTGACTTTGAATTCACACATGTGGAAAAACCTTATGAGTCCTACACGGGGCAGAATGTGAAGTTGAGGTGAGTCTCCTCCCTTTGTTGACCCCTATTCTCAGTTCTGTGTGCAAATCCTGATGCTTACCGTAGTGCTACTGGAGTGCAGCATCCCTTCCAAAACATCCCTGTGAGTTTATAATGTGACTCCAAACGAAATTTGATGCTCTGAATGGTGAAAGGCTGTCTCTGAGGGCTTTTATAAGCATACATCAGGCTCAAAGGAACCTGTTTGGCCCCATTTCTGTGACGAGAGAAATCAGCCCCTTCTGAATCTACCTAATATTTTCCAATTTACTTGGTAATTAAAAAAACGAACCACAAAAGAAATTGTTTGCTTTAGTCCTCAGCAGGGACATTTTCACCATCGTGTAATCAGTCTTGTAGACTTTAATTGTGCTCTATATGCAAACAGATGCCTCGCTGGTATCTCATTCATATGTTGCAAGCTGCATTTCACATCTGAGTGCTCCAATTGACTTCACATCCAGTCACTGGCTTCAGAGGGTGGGCTGGAAAATTGTGAGATCTGCAGCCCCTGGAGACCATTGTGATCTCACTTCTTGCAAAAGGACAGTGGTTTTCCATGTGTGTTCTGCAAGCTCTTATTGAGATCCCCAAAATGATACGTAGGTAATTCAGGCTCACAAATGCACGAAAGCTTAGAAGAGTCTTAGAAACTGTTATTCCATTTGAAAATTCCCTTTTGGCTTTGCAACCTGTTGGCTGCTCCAGAAGCCAGGGTACTTTGAGGGAAGATTGAGGTTGGATGCAGGGGGGATTTCTTTACTGTGAGAATGGTGAGGTGCTGGAACAGCTGCCCAGAGAGGCTGTGGATGCCCCATCCATAGAGGTGTTCAAGGCCAGGTTGGATGGGGCCCTGGGCAGCCTGGGCTGGTATTAAATGGGAGGTTGGTGGCCCTGCCTGTGGCAGGGGGTTGGAGATTCATGATCCTTGAGGTCTCTTCCACCCCAAGCCATTCTGTGATTCTGTGATACTGATAAGCTTATTTGGATAGCCCAGTGCAATCCATTCAGCCCCGTGCCCCTCCTTGCTTCATCTCCATTACTCCTATGCAGCACTAACAGGAGGGGGGTTCCCTTGCAGGTATTTCCTCCGAGCGACTGTCAGCCGCAGGCTGAACGACGTGGTGAAGGAGATGGACATAGTTGTGCACACTCTTAGCACCTACCCAGAGCTCAACTCCTCTATTAAGATGGAGGTTGGGATTGAGGACTGCCTGCACATTGAGTTTGAGTATAACAAGTCCAAGTAAGTGTCTCAAGAGCAGCCAGTGGTGGTGGGGAATCTGCTACAGGGGCTGCTTTCTTTGGTAGCCTGAAGCTTGTGTCTCCAATGCACTTTCTTCACACGCTCCACCTTATGGCTGGGGCTGAGGATAAGAGCAAAGTGACTCGTGGGCTCTTTGCTGTCCTGATGTGCTCCGCGATGCTGACTGTGGTGCTTTCCTCCTTCGTACGCCAGGTATCATTTAAAAGATGTGATTGTCGGTAAGATCTACTTCTTGCTAGTGCGGATCAAGATCAAACACATGGAGATAGATATCATCAAGAGAGAAACGACGGGGACTGGACCCAACGTTTATCATGAGAATGACACAATAGCTAAATATGAGATCATGGACGGTGCCCCTGTGAGAGGTGAGAAAGCAGATGACTTTGAAATTCTTCTCCTCGAGTCTTTAAGGGTGGGAATATGAATGCTGCAGCATTTTCAGCTGACTCTGGGAGCTCACTAGAAATACGCATCCTGTTTTACAGGTGAACTCATGGTCATTTATGTGGGTGATAAAATAGGACCCTCTTCTTTCTCTGGAGTGATGGGAGGAATAGAGGCATAACGAGTAGCAGTGATTTTACTTAATTCTTTAATGAAGGAGTGGCAGAACCAGGAACAGATGTAGATTCACAGTTGGATTGGACCATCTGTTGGTATTGCTGCAACTCAGGGCAGAACGTGTTCTACTTCAGCTCCAGCCTCCTGTGCCACTTGTTTTCCAGTTCCACTGCCCAGCAGATTTACCTGCCAGAGAAAAATGTCACTTTGTTTGTTCCTGCAGTGCTGTTTTGGTGCAGGTCACAAACAAATTCTGTACTGTTAAAGCTGAGGTGAAATAGCTGCTGCCAGTAGCAGGATCTGGCAATAGACCATGTGTGCTGATGGCTTTTTGAAGGAACTTGAGGTCTTTCAGGTCATTTTGGTCCCCTTCTGGAAAGTCACAAAGTTTGATGCGTCCCAGTGAAATGTCGTTTTGCTGGCACTCCTAGTTTGTATTTCCAGGATCCCATGCTGATGTTTTGTGCTCTTTGTAGGGGAGTCCATTCCCATCAGACTCTTTCTGGCTGGCTACGAGCTGACTCCAACAATGAGAGACATCAACAAGAAGTTCTCAGTGCGTTATTACCTCAACTTGGTGCTGATTGACGAGGAAGAGAGACGCTACTTTAAACAGCAGGTGAGAAAAGCTGTTTGGTCCTCTCGGACCCACAGGCTGTCACTGAGCACCTGCTGGATTCCTGGGGGGGAGAAGCACATTTTTTAATAGAGTATCTGTAAGGACTGGACAGCTTAGAGCATGCAGAGAAGGCCTAGAAGAGATGGTCCACAAGGGTCAGATGTGTGTTGTGCTGGGAATTCATGTAGGAGGCGCTCACCCAGTAGTACTTCTCATCTCTCTTGCTCCAGCGCTTTGATTTATTGATTCTGATGTAGTTAGCAGTGGCAATGGGACACATCGGCCCTGGACATCCATTGGGTTTGCCTCCATGCCCAGATCCAGGGGAGGAGTGCTCTACCCAACTTTCAGGAAGGCAGCGTAGCCTGTGGAAGAGATGCCAGCGTGGGCAAGTTCCCACTGGGTGCAAGCTGTGCTGGGCAGCTTGGTTCAGCCTTTGGGTCTGGGTGGGGCTGGGGGCAGGTCTCACAAGCCCTGACAAGCCGTGCTGGATGTGTTGCTGCAGGAGGTGGTGCTTTGGAGGAAAGGAGACATAGTGAGGAAGAGCATGTCCCACCAAGCAGCCATCGCCTCCCAGCGGTTTGAGGGGACGTCCTCACACACGGAGGCCAAGACCCCCAGCCAGCCTGCAGAGAACAACGGCCGGCAGTGAGAGGCCACGCAGAGGAGGGCTGCTGTGGAGCCAGCGGGGACAGCAGCGAGGAGGAAGAAAAAAAACACTTCGGAGACTTTGTGGAAAAAAAAAATAACCAGTTTTTGAACTCAATTCCTTTCTTCAAAGGACTAGCAGGGTGGGAAGGGGCTGGGAGGGCAGGGCGAGGCGGAGCACTGGTGGCGCAGAGTTGAAGTTACCTCAGTGCTTCTCCATCAACTACATTCCTTGGGTCGGCTGCTTTGAGGCGCATCTGGAGGCTGCGGAGCTGCCTGATCTCCTCTTTGCCCCGAGACCCTTTTGGTGTGGCTGCAGGGAAGGAGAGAGCAAGTGAAAGCCAAACCTGCTGCGGCTCAGCAGTGCAGAGGTTGCTTTGGGACTGCGTGGGATGGATATTTTTCTTGCCTTTCAGAAAACTGCACAAGGGAAAATGAAATGAAAAACAGCATTTAGTTGGAAGGTAGAGGAGGGAGTCGGGAGACTGAGGCGCAGCCTGCTTGGAGTGGCTTCATCTTATCCCCTCACTGCCTCCTCTTCCTCTTCGTGTTGGTGGTGGATGCTTTGTCACAAGCAGTTATAGAATGTAGCAGTGCCACGCAGCCACTTTGCTGGTGGGACACGGGCAGCAGGACGGCTTGTGTGTCCTTGTGGGAGCTCCTGGCCGTGTGCTGGGCTGGGGGGAGCTGGGCTGGTTGACATGTGAATCCAGTAGGACGTGGAACAGAGAGGTGGCACAGGCTGGGCAGTGCAGTGAGGGTCAGGAGGAGCAAGCGGTGGTGCTGGGTGGTCGAGAAGTCAGGGCAGAAAGGCTGCAGGCTGAGAGCAGTGCCTTCTGAGCGCTGTCTTTGAGATTCAGCCTTTGGTTGCAGTCCCAGCTGCTGCTGCGGAGCAGGGCAGACCAACCTCGGGAGGTTGGAGCACAGTGTTGGGATGTGAAAAATACTGTGGGAGTGAGTTTGTACTGCACGTGCTGCTGTGCTGATGCTTTGTGTCCTTGTGACAGAGCAGGCATCACAGCAGGGCAGAGAGCAGTACAGAAACGTGTGTTGTATTGTTTGCTCTCTCGCCTGCAGAGTGAGGGTTGGTAAGGCCAGAAAGAGGATGCAGTTGTTTAAGGAGCTCGTGGCTGATGCATGCTGCTAGAACAAGCCAAGCAGGAGCTGGAAGGATGGTAGAGTTCTCAAATTCCAGAGAGACATTCTTGAGGCCTGAGCTGAAGTCACCAGTGAGGTCTGAGGGTGTGCCTTGAATTGAGAACCTGAATGCAGTTGTGGTCTTGTTTCTTTTTAATTCTAAAATAAGCTGCTTTTAGTCTTCAGCTAAGTAGAATCATGAGAACATTCCCAGAATGGAATCATTCCTCCATTAAAAATTAGAAATGGCTTTGTGGATTTGATTGAGTTTGGAGAATATCCATCCTGTTCAGATGCCCTTCGGGGAAGCAGGTGGTTGGAGCTCCTACCAGATGGAGGGACAGCACTGCACTAGATGCTGGGATAGGAGCTCCATCAAGTGGGATTTGTCTGAGTTTTTCTGCAAGTTTGTGGCTCGCTGTGGTTTTGTCCAGCTGCTTTCTGATTCTGGAATGAACCTCCTCTGCCTCTGTCCTACAGCTGAATGTAGAACAGTTGTCTTGCAGCTGGGAAATGGAAGCATCTTCTGCTTCGTTTAGTCGAATGATGCTGGTGGAGGGAATGGGGTCAGGGTGGGAAGGGGAGCTTTTTATGTAATAAGACAGCTACTGTATTTCAGTGATCAATGTGTGTTTCTGCTTGCCAAAGTAAGTTATCTTTTAATCACCATGTGTAAGGTTGTGGTTTTTAGTAGAGCTGGGCAGTCTCGCTCTGTTGTAGAGGACACTAATGAACTCATCTCTGCTGAATGCTCGTGTCACACCGTGTTCTGCTCTGTAATAGTGAAGACGTGACTTGCTCTTCTTTACATGAGAAGTGTGTGCCATGGGCTGGAGCCGTGTGCTCCTCAGACTGAAGCAAAAGCTGAGACAACTACCTTGTTACGCCAGGGCAGAGGTGATGTCTGCAGGTCTCACCTGGCAAAGCAATCTGGTTGTTATTTTGACACTCACTTATTCTACTCCCCCTCTGTGAAGGGGGAACCACCTTGCTGTGGCAATACACAATCTTTGAGAGACAAGTGGAGCTCCTGCAGGAGCCTCAGGGGATAGCAGACTATCTTTCCACAGCTAAGCTGAGCACAGCAGCAACCAAACCACCCTCTGCTTGCCCTCAGCTCCCCTCCAACTTAGAATTTTTCCCCTCGTGAATTCCTTTTGATTGTAGGCCATGTGGTATTAAAGAAACCCCATGGATGAAAATGTCTTTGCATTCCAGGAGTGGTTTGTTTACTGTCTGAGCAGCATCAGTACAGTCTGACAAGATAATGCACTGTAAGGAGATTTCAATTAATCATCTGTTCATCACTTGTAGAGAGCTTGCTTAGAATGAATCACAGAATGGCTTGGGTTGGAAGGGACTTAAAGATCATCTAGTTCCTCAACTCCCCTTCCATGGGCAGGGTTGAAAAAAAGTGCATGAGCCTATATGGCTTTTTGTTTTGTTTTTTCCTCCTTTGTGCCTCTCTCCCCCGTGTCCCCAGCTGTGAAATCACAGTTTAGAAATGATCCCCACTTCTCATCTGAGGATCGTTTAACCCGTTGCCCACTAGGCCCTCTGTTTGTCTGGGCTGGAGCAGATGTGCTGGGCAGGTTAAATGGAAGCATAGAACAAGGTACTGTAGGAAAGCACTTCATGAGCACAGCGGGGGGCAGACACTAACTGAGCTGTGTTCCCCTGAGCTGGATGGTTCTGTTCATTACTTGGGTCATTCCCTCTCTCCTAGGCAGCTTCAGGTAGGGGGGAGCAGGCAAGTACTAAACCAAGCAGTGCAACTTGTAATTAAGCCTCTGCTGTGTTTACATGTTTCTTAATTCGTCGTCTTTTCAATGGCTGTATTTTAAAACTTGTTTTTTTTTTTGTCTCTCCAATTAAAAAAGAGCCAGCCTTGGCCATCAAATGCTGTGCATGAGTTTGTCTGATATGATTTGTAGTGCGTGGCTTGGGTTTTTTCTTTTATGGCATTAAGGCATTTTGCTTTGATACTGTCTTTAGAAAGTATGTCTCTGGTAGAAGCCGTGCCTACAGAGGACACATAGCCTAAAAATTAGCAGGCTAATTTCTCTTTTCTGATGTCACTGCTAAAGCAATATGGGAAATTTTGTACCTGCAGGAAGTTAACAATGGTCTGCTTGGCAGTAATTAGGTTAGATGTGTATACACCAAAATTTTCTTGCTCTAGACAGAAGCAAAGTGACACCTTTCTGCAGAAAAACGTCCCACTGCAGTACATGCAACTGCACTGCATCCTCCAGAAAGGAGGAGAAGAAATTGCAGAGAGAAACTGCAGAACGTCACCACTGCTAGAATTGAGTAGCTTCAATTGATTCTAAAAGGCTTTATTTAAAAATAAGCAAAAAACAACAACAACAAACAGTGTTGGAGTAAGGAACATAAAGCTTCAAATCATTTGCAGGCTTGTTCTCCTTGCTGTGGCTGAGTAAGTAAACTTGAGAATTATGCTGGTTTAGGAGGAGGCATCAATGGGCTGGGTACAAGCTGTGCTGCTGTCAGTTTCTTAATGTGGCTTTTCCTCTTCCAGGCTCAAGACAAAATCAAATTCCTCTGTATTGGGAAGGTAAGGAAGAGAGAGTTGTAAGTGGGACTTCCAAGTTGTCTGGGTTGGAGGCTGCCTCTCAGAAAGAGTGGCACTGAGACCAAAGGAGGAGAAGGCTTTTACCTTGTGTCAGTGGTTGGATGGAAAGACGTTGTCTTGAGAAGAGCATCATGTTCTTTAGGGGCCCTCCATCTGCTTTGTGTGCCAGGTGGTGAGCCTTGATTTCAGAAAGGGGGATGAAGCGTTTTGTCATCCGCACAAACTGGACGTCCACCTGGCAGGGGATGAGCAGCAGAGGAGCATGGATGAAGAAGGATTTAGCATCCAGATAACACATAAGATCTTTGGGGACATGAGGATTTTAAGCTGAATCGAATGACCAGTGTACAGCATCTTGTAATGGTACAGAAGTTTTTTCTTGCTGAAGGCTGAAAATCTCAGATGCTTCTGGCAGGCCACTTGTTGACATCAATCTCAGTACCATGCACTAGAAACATACCTTTATGTGGTCACAGACAATATAAAACAAAGCTGCAGGTTTTATAGCCAGCTTGTGAGCAGCCACTTCCTTATAATGTAGTATGAATCAAAACCATAGTTTTCATTGCTACAGACTAAGAGTAACGCTGGAAGATGTTTGTTCTTCCTGACCCAGAATTCTGCAATGGATGCAGAACTGACCTCCATGCAAGGAAGATCTGAAAATGCAGGGAGATGCATTTTGTTGTGGAAGTAACAGAAGAGTAGAGAAAACAATCAGGATTGGGTTTTCTCTTGATGGAGAAAAAGGTAGGTAGGCTAGGGCAGAAGCTTCCGAAGACATGCAATGTAAGAGGCTCCTAACTGCACTGGGATCAAACACAGAGTTTAAAATGATCATATTTAGTTTGCTACGTTACCATGGACCATTTGGGGTTCTCTTTCCTGCTGGAGGAATCGTAATGAGGATCCTTCTGATCAAACTGTGTGTGATCAGGGTATGCTTCCTTTACAATCTGAAACAGAATGGGAGTTGAATGTGAGATGAGCTCCTGTCAGTTAAATGCTGTTGTCAGCAAAGGGTATGAAATGGCCTTGAGAAAGCTGTGCCTAGACAGAAGAGGAATAATGCTGGTGCAAAAGTGAGCTTTGCTTTCTCTGAAATCCATTCTAACAGATGTATTTCCTTCCTTTAGATTCCTTGGCTGGAAGCACTGCAGGACAGTATGGATGTCAATGGAGCATCATCATCTCTTTAGAGAGCAAAGTGGAGGGAACACGAGTAACAGAGGAAAACTGGGTACAGATCTTAACGAAAAAGCTTTCCTGTGCCCTAGGCTTCATACCACTGCCTTGCACAGCAGAATTTAGTGAGTTAGGTACCAATCAGAAGCCATGAGTGCAGAGCAATGTTCTGCATGGCTGGAGATGCTCTGAAATGACAGCAAGGTAACAGTGGTGTGGTTTCATTTCTCCAGGATGCTCGCTGCAATACATACAGTGAGCCCAGATACCCTAGGCCTATTTGCTGCTCTGAATAGACTTCCTTTTGCACTCCTCTGGTTGTAAAACAGAAGCAAGGCTAACAAATTGTTTGATAACCCACTGATTACTTTTTTTTTCCCCCCAGCACACAGAATGGGGCACTCACCTTGACAATGCCAACAATGCCAGGCTCCTTGCAATTACTGTGATAGAAGAATGCCTGTTGCCCAAGTTTCATGGCTCTCAGGAAGTTCCTTGCCTGTCAAATTAAAGTGAGAGACTTTGAGCAGTTGATACAAAACTCTCAGGATTTCTTAAACCTGCTAGGAACAAGACCTAACAACAGGAGAGAGGTATGAGCTTCAGTGCTACTCATACAACTCTCCTATGTTGGTCAAGCAGATGTTTTACACTGCAGTGAAATGAAATGAAGGTAAAGAGCAAGGTATTCTTTGTTAGAAGGTATGAGGGACTGTAACAGCTCAGACACCTTCATGTGAGGATAGCGAGAGACTGCAGTTTGCTGTCAGCAAGCAGCCAGCAGGGCAGACTGGATTAGGCAGAGGTAGTGCATGTAGCTTTCCTTTGCACAGGAATCCTGGAACAGACAGAGCAGACAGCTGCACACTGACAAGGCACAGGGTTTGGCTCAGTTTCTTGCTTAGAGGTGTCAAGGGAAATAGAAGCTGATCATCTGTGGGACCTGAGAGAGACGAAGCTAAAGAAAAAAAATGGACGATTTAAGAGAATATTACCCAGCTTGCATCTATGTTTAATTTAGAGATAATTAAGCAGTTTTGACTCCTGACAGAAAACAGCTGTCAAAGCAGGCAGACTACATCAAAAGAAAATACTTCAGCACTTCAGGCAAAGGAAACAAGTCATCTGTGAAGAGAGAAAACATTTGTCTGCTGATACTTCAGTGACTCAGCCTTTGACATCTGCTCCTTACCTGGTAGTTTCTTACTCCTTCCCAGAAGGTTGTCTGATTGGGCTGAGCCTTCAAGTCTTCAATGCTGAACTGCCAAGTGCAATGAACACACAGGTTAAGTCCAGGAGGCAGTTTGATCTCTGTTGCCTTACTGTCTGTTTTACCTAAACGTTTGTAGCTCCTTCAGTTATGGTTCAAACTTCACAAAAACTTTTGGTTTTGTTCCCATGGGGTTTAAAGAAAAATCCTCATGAAGAAGGAATGCTTTACTCAGTGTAAGGGCAGAGCCTGGAACAGATGGAGTCCCTGCTACCTACAGCTAAGCATTCTAAGGGCCCAATTTAAGTATCAAACCCCTTCAGGTGAACAGAATTATCTTGTCCTTTTTTTCAGGAAGACAAGTGCTTTTAGAGAAGGACCAGAGACTCAATAGTGTTGATATTGCAAATAGTCTGAACTGTGTGATCCTGTAATTCAGCACCCTGGTGCTAATGCTCTGGTGAGGAGTGAAATTGCTTCTTTACTTTGTTGACTTTGCTGAATAAGAATACTAGAATGGGGGTCAGTGCTTACTTTCACATCCACTCCCTTCTCAAGCCTGCTCTCTGGTTCCGATTTCAGAAGCCAATGGCAATATGTTATCTTGCTTTCCTCCCCACCAGAATCAGACTCTTTTGCCTTTTTCCAGTTCTTCCATCCTGACTTGGAGCTCCCAGCTGGAGGTTTCGTGGACTTTTCCTCTTCCTCCTTATCTTCATTCTCCTCCTCAGTCTTGGCAATTTTAGCATCAGGCTCCTTTTTATCTTAAAAGAAACGAGGAAGAAAAGACCATTCTGGTAGAACAGAATGTTTCTGATAAGGATTGGTGCTGAAACCATTTTAGTCACCCATGCTGTCATATGAGTGCAACCAGAAGTTTGGTGTGCCCTGGATCATGGAAGGTAGCTGCTTTACTTATCACTGTTTCTGCACATTTCTAGTTTGCACCTGAAATACAGATTTTGTTTCTTGTTGTGTGCATGAACAAAGCCAGGATAGACCATACTGTCCTCATGAAGTGTTACTTGAAGGGTTTTTTTGTTAATTATTATTAATTGCTGAGAAATCAATAGCTGGCCAAAAGAAGTCAATTTAGATCAGTCTGATAAATAACAGGAAAATTCAGCAGCAAAAGAAACTTTTGGTTACTGCATTAGCTAGAAGCCTCATGTTAAGGCATTTGCTGTGCTTCCAGTATGGAGGGAGCCCCTCTGCCTGTTTGTCCTGAACATACACAGCAAAAAGCAGTGATAAAAGGGAATGAAGGTGGTTATCTGCTGAAGCCTATTCAACAGATGAGTAGCACAGAGGAGCCAACTGTTTAATTCTCTCATCTTATGCTTTAAACATCAGATAACACTGCCTTAAGTGCAAGGCTTTTAATCATTTTTGTTTTGTGTTTTCTGCAGATGGTACCACATCATTTCTGTGCCACTGAACCGGGTACACTTTGACCGACCAGCTCTAGCATGCAGGCTCTGAAAGCTCTTAATAAATGGATGAGTCACATTTCTTAACTGTCTTGTGCTGAGAATACACCACTGTCCCTCTCTTACATCTACCAGACTTGTCTCAGTCACACATGGATGCTCAGCCCACTTTTTACAGAGGAAATGCTGTCTGAAATCTGTCCCAGATCTGTCTCAAAGACACGTGGCTTGAAAGACATGACAGTTATATGGCTGTACTTGCAGTGCAGCCCCGTGTAAGAGATGCTCAATTAGTCAGGACATAGCACAGACCTGCCACTGCTCCTTTGTCTCTCTTTCTGCTTGGCCAAGGCATCTCTGGGCTCTTTGAATCCTCTTCACCGAGAAGCACCTGCAGAATGAAAGAGGGCAGATTACTGGCAAGCTGAGGGAAAAAAAAAACAGTTGGGATAGCTGAGAGAATGGAAAAGCTGTGCAGTAAGTGCAGAATGTATTCCCTCCCCTGAGCTCGGCCATTTCCTCTATCAGTGCAAATCCTGGCACCGGTTGAGGACCACACCCGGGCTGCCCTCCCGAGCCGCGCTCTGATGGACGTTGGCAGCAGGGCTGCTTTTCCCCACAGCTGTTGAAGGAAAGTCCCGAAGGCGCTCGGCCTCGCAGCACGGCCGTTTTCTGCCGCGTAAGAGGAGCCGTGCTGCGAGGAAAGCGAAAGCAGCTCGCTCGCTGCTCTCCGTCCAGCCTGCCCAGCACGCAGCTCGTTGCACGCGAACATTTGGTCAAACGCAGCGCGACTTGGCCGCTGGAACCGCAGCCCCGTTCTGTCGGCAGCCGCTGTCAGAAGTTACGTGGCTCTGCGCCATCCTCCTCCCGTCAGTCCGGCCGCCACCAACTTTCCCCCCGCCCGCACCCAGCGTCCCGTCCCACCGCTCTCCTCACCGGCTCCGGCCGCCGTTCGGGTTAAGGATGCTCGCGCTTTGCCCGAGCTTCGGCGCGGGAGGAGGAAACGCGCCGTCCCCCGCCCTGTTGGAGTCGGAAGTCTGTAACCGTTATGCAAAAAAGGCATCGCCCGGCGGCTCGCCTCCTCCAGCGGCCAATGCGGGCGGCCCCGAAGCGAGGACTACAAATCCCGGCCGCCGCCGCGGCGCCGCCTCCCGCACCGCCATGGCGTGGAGAGCGGCCCGGCTCCGCGTTACGGCCCCGCTGCTGCTGCGGCAACGCGGGATCGCGTCCTGCATCGACCGTAAGGCTCCCAGGGGCGAGGCCGGATCCCGCTGCCCGAGGGAGGGGAGGAGGGAGGGATGCTCTCGGTGCCCGCTGCCCCGTGCTCGTAGCGGCAGCGCTGACGGCCCTCCGGCTGCACCTCTGCGCTTCGGACCTGGGAGTCGATCGGAGCATCGCGATAATGAGCGCTTGCACGAGGTTGATCGGGAAGCCGTGCTCAGGATGTCGTGCCCGCTGACATCTGATCTCCACACCCGCTCCCTGCCGGCGGTGGGACTGCGCCTGTGGTCTCCTAAAGGACCCCGTAACGCTTCCCTGCTTAATTGCTCCGGCATTTAAATGTGTTAAGGAGAGAAGCAGCAGCAGCTGTGTGAATGTTAGGGGAGGAACTAACAAAGTGACGTGGGATCTGCGTGCAAACAAAGCAGTTTTCCAAGGCAGAATGTAGCTACAGCTTTCCATGCAGCTTCTAAAGAAGTTCTTTGCGTGCTCGCCTTCTAGCATCACTTTGAACTGGCAGGAGCGTTCCCTTGTACTTGTGCAGCAGGATGGTGTGGCAGCTGCAGGAGCTGTGCTGTCCCTGCCCCAACCTCACAGCACAGTGCTGAGCAGCCAAAGATGTGTGCAGCACCGGGGCTGTTTGGTTGTAACAAAGCCTTCTCCAGCACAGATCCCAGTTGCTCCAGGGAGCAGAGAAATGGGTTTCGTAGTGGAGAGCATGAATGCTGACCTATTTGATCCCTTTCTGGTTTTCTAGTGTCTGCTGGTCTGACAGAGGAGCAGAAGGAATTCCAAAAAGTGGCCCTTGATTTTGCCACCAGAGAGATGGCTCCCCACATGGCTGAGTGGGATGAAAAGGTACGGCAGCCTCCAAAGGGTCGTTCTGCTCCCTTAAGCTGTTCTTGCCCCTGGGTTTCATTGGAAGGATCCCTTCAGTAGCTTCTCAGGGCTGTAATGACAGCAATAGGGATTTATTTGAAGATGCTGCTAGTGGGGACCCATCCGAAATTCCCTTAAAGCCTTCCTAAGCAGGTAATTCAATCATCTGGAAGCTTGAATTTATTCCTGAAGATGGTGTGTACCTGTCTAGGTAACTGCTTATCTTTTAACCAACCCAATTAACAAACACTGCAGAAGTTTGGGACCGAACCTGGTGGCCGTGGTGTCTCAGAACTTCACCACAGACATTCACTGTTGGTGTCTCTGTTCCAATAGGAAATATTTCCTGTGGAGACAATGCGAAAGGCAGCCCAGCTGGGATTTGGTGGCATCTACGTGAAACCAGACGTGGGTGGCTCTGGATTGTCACGTCTTGACACCTCCATCATCTTTGAAGCCTTATCAACAGGGTGTACCAGCACCACTGCTTACATGAGCATCCACAAGTGAGTGCAGAGGGGTGGATGGTGTCAGCCACAGTTGTTCTATGGCTCTGCATCCAGCTGGAGACAGCTCTCCTGGTGCTCACTTACAGTTGCAGCCCAAACAGGCACGGCACTATGAGGATCCCTCGACTGCAGCAAGCAGATAGGCTACAAAAGCCAAGATGCCACTGAAGTCATTTTGGCTTCTTGGCATGCAGGATGGGATTAAGTTCAGGATTTTGTTTCCTGCTCATCTACTTAAGCTGTCTATAGATAGTAACCTGTCTGGAAAAAGCTTTCTTTTTTGCTTTGCTTGTTCTGTGACAGTGCCACAGCTGATACCAGGGCCCTATCCTGCTCATACAGACATGTTCACAGAAGGGCTTGCTTTGCAAAATAGAGCTTGGTGCTGAGGGGAATGCTGAGGCTGTTAAATGGGAGTGTGCTGTTCCACCAGGCAGCAACCCTGGTGTGAATGGAAGCTGATGGATGTCCTTCCCAGCTTCTGTGGTGTGTAATTTTGTTCCCTTTCAGTGTGCCTGGGGCAGGTGATGGGGGTGGAACAATAAGCTTTCAGGCCTCAGTGCTTTTGTGGAGCTTTGTTCTTTGTGTCAGGAATGTTCTTGTATGACCCACCTTCCTTCTAGGGCTGTGTTCACATGCACACACTGTAATGCTGCTCCTTCTCTCCTGCTCCAGCATGTGTGCTTGGATGATTGACACCTTTGGCAATGAGGAACAGAGGCACAGGTTCTGCCCATCGCTCTGTAGCATGGAAAAATTTGCTTCTTACTGCCTTACTGAGCCAGGTGAGCGTTTACCAACAAAATCTCCCTCACTCCTAGTGAGGTTTTACTGGAGCCAGAGGCAGAATGTTTCTTTTCACATTCTCTTGTGCAATCACCAGAAGTTCAAAAGGGGCAGTTGATGGTTGGTGAATACTTGTGGTACAGACCCCAGTTCTGGGTATGATTCCCAGGACAGCTTAAAGGCTCCGTCTTCAAAGATCTCCTGCTTCATTGGCTGCTCCCTTACCTCCCAAATAGGAAGTGGAAGTGATGCAGCTTCCCTGCTGACCTCAGCTAAGAGGAAAGGGGACACCTATGTCCTGAATGGCTCCAAGGTACCTTTTTGCTCCTGTTAAAGCTGCTGGATGGCACTGCATGCACAAAGGGTCCTGGGTCTCACCATCCTTTTCGTTTCCTTCTGTCTCCTCATCTCTGTTCCCCACGCTGTGACATCCTCTGCAGGGCGTCCACCAGAGCTTAGCACAGTTGGGTCCCTAAATGCCTCCTGGCAGTGGAGTCTTTGTCCTTCCACTTCACCCCTCCATTCTTATACCCTGGCTGGTGCTGCAGGCTCTCAGTTAACATACAGCAGCCAACCCTTTCCTGTTGTACCTTACTGCAGGCTTTCATCAGTGGAGGAGGTGACACAGATATATACGTGGTTATGTGTCGCACAGGAGGCCCAGGCCCCAAGGGCATCTCCTGTGTGGTGCTGGAGAAGGGGACACCAGGCCTCAGCTTTGGCAAGAAAGAGAAGAAGGTAAGAGCCTTGCTTTTTATTTCCTGTGAGGGAAGAGCAGGACAGAGATGAGCTCATCTGCAAAGAAAGCACCGGGAATCTTCTGGTGAATGGGACCAGAATCAGCTGGGATGTTTTTTTCCAAGCCACGTTCAATTTTGATGAAGTTTGCACAATGACATTCACTTGCTAAATGAAGGATTTTAATCTCAGAAATGCTCTGCTCAAATACACTCCAATTTCTAGCTCAGCACACCGACACCAAACCACATAGACCACAGGCTCCGAGGTGCTCTTGCAGCAGCTTGGCAATGAGATCAAGGGGTTGAGAGCAGGCTGGGCATTTCTGTGCTGTGAGATGGATGCGTGCTGCTCCCCAAGCATTGGGAAAGTACTCTTTTTTTTTTTTCCTAGGTGGGGTGGAACTCTCAGCCAACTCGGGCTGTGATTTTTGAGGACTGTGTTGTTCCTGTTGGCAACCGGCTGGGAGCTGAAGGGCAGGGCTTCAACATTGCCATGAAGGGTCTGAATGGAGGCAGGATAAACATTGGTGAGAAAAACAGGCAGCAGAGAGACAAGTGAGAAGGGCAAGGTTATATTGCTGACACTCTGCATTGGCTTCATGGTCACTCTGTGTTTTCTCCCACCAGCTTCTTGCTCATTAGGAGCTGCTCACGCCTGTGTTCTTCTGGCTCAGGAGCATCTCACTGTCCGCAAGCAGTTTGGGGAACCTCTAGCAAACAACCAGGTAAGCTCTCTACCAGATTTGCATTCTGTAAACTGTTCTTTGTCTCATTCTGGCTGAACAAACAGCTAGAGGGAGAAGTTCTCAACGTGTCAAAGGTAAACCCGAAGGGAGATCAGAGATCAAAGTCAGGAATGTGCTTTTCCACAGTAAGAATGCATGTCGGGCATGAGACCCGCCTGCAGATAGCGGAGATGTGGTTCAGGGCACTGTGAAGATGCTGACCTCATCTTTCCCTCGCTGGCAGTACCTGCAGTTCAGGCTGGCAGAGATGGTGACGCGCCTGGTGGCCGCGCGGCTCATGGTGCGCAGTGCTGCACGCGCTCTGCAGGACGGACGGGAAGACGCAGCCGTGCTGTGCTCCATGGCCAAGCTGTTTGCTACTGACGAGTGCTTTGCGGTAGGTTACTCATCTGAATTGGAATCTTGGGAGATCCAAGCATGTCCGTTGAGCCTGAAGCCTCGTTTCAGGACCAGGATATTTTATGGGACAGAGTTCTGCACTGTTTGTGTCTCCACAGTTCAGATCTCCTGGCTTCTAGGCCTTCTGCACAACTTTCTAAAGGACCAAGCAAGGACACAGGATAGGCAGCAGAGCGTTCTTATTTTCAAGGGGTAACACACATGTTACATGCTGATAACTCCTAGCTAGTGAATGGTCTTTCCTAGACCACTCAGAAATCAATCATTATCACAAAATATCCCCCAAAAAAGAAAGCAAGAAGAGAGAAAAATAAATAAAAGTGAAGTCTGTGCTATGACACTTCTTAGATTAGTTTCATACAGACATATTTTCTCAGCGTTCTGCACTTTTGCTGCCTATTGGGTTGTACATCTCGAGTTGGTAGATAAAGATACGTGGAGTCACATTTCAATAGAAATCAAAGCCTTGAACAGATTCCTCAGCTGACTGCCGCTAGGTGGTGATCTGGTGTTTTGGTTTTCCTATCAATAGCAGCATAGAAACGCAGCAAAACCTGCCTTTGTTAAGTAAAGCCTTTTTTGGTTACTTATGTGCTGTATTATTCACGTAACTGCACCATTAATGTGAAACAGCACATAGGTAAGATGATAGCACTGAGAGCAGCACTGATGGCAACTGAAAGCTCCTTGCTGTCACACCAGACTGCTAAGAGATGAGATTGGGTGACCAGGAAAAAAGAAACGAGCCCAGGTTCCTGGGTTCTTACTGTGCTTCTGCTGCTGACTTGTCCTCAGTAAGTTACTTCAGCAGCAATGCTGTCTCCACAGATTTGTAACCAGGCTCTCCAGATGCACGGCGGCTATGGCTACCTGAAGGATTATGCAGTGCAGCAGTTTGTGCGAGACGTCAGAGTCCACCAGATCCTGGAAGGTAAAGGATGCTGTTAGCAGGCAGGGATTTGGCTGTGTAACAAGAAAGAACAGGCCTTCCAGGCCTTGCCACATGACTGATTCTAAGGTTTCAGAAGCTAGTTTTGCCCTGAGCTTGAACTGTGCCTGGATATCACATGCATGCATCCCCCAGCCAAGAGCTCTGTGTGTAAAATCTTCAACTCTCTGGTGAAGTTGCCATGTATTTGAAGGGTCTTACAGCAGGGGGAGATCTCTGTCATGTTAGTGGTGCCTCCCTCCAGTTTAATCCGATGACTCCCACCGACGAGTGCTGACACTCTCCAGCAGTTCCCATTTAGTCTTTGGCTTTCTTTCTCTACCAGTGTTTGGGCACAGCTGCGTGTGCAGTGGCCTTTTCTAATCTCAGTTTGACTCCCTTCCCATTTTGTTTTCCCTTCTTTGAAACCCATCCACGTAAAACCAAGGCGCCGTGTAGGGATGTAAACTTTCCTGTGCTTTCTGTGTGCTGTCCGTGTGTCACATAGCAAAGCAGTGAACTCAGCTGCTCACACAGCTCCTGTGCAGCTCAGTGTTTGGTGCCCTGCCAGTGCCCAAATAAAAAGAAGCACTAGCATTTCTGAAGGCTTTCCTGAGCAATGCGTTAGCACTTTGTATTTCAGCCTGCTACCTCAATGCCACTTCAGGTGCTCCCATCGGGGAGAGGTTTTCTGTGCAGATCAGGGAAGAACTCTGTATGCCCTCACTGGCTGCAGAATCAGAACATCTCTTAACCATCTTTTGCATCCTTGACCCACTGCAGGTACCAACGAGGTGATGCGGATGATTGTGGCCAGGAACCTGTTACAGGGGTGAAGCCAGGAGCAAAATCCCTCTGTGGAAACAGCCTGCCTGCCTTACAGCTGGGCAGCACCCACACAGCCACAGCTGTGCTCTGTGCCTGGCGTTGTGCTGTGCAGCCTGAAGATGTCAATCACAGCTCCGAACAAGAGCCTCTGTCCCCAGATCGTGGCTGTGGGCTGCCATCCATCCTGCATGGAAGGAGATCCCAAGCTGCAGGCAGAGCTGGAGGCACAGCCTGACCGCTTGGAACCATTCTACCAATTAAACCTTAATTCAAAGGAACTAATCGCTCTGCTTAAAACCCCATCCTGGAGGCGAGGGGCAGCGCTGCACACCAGCTAACCACGAGCACAGCCCTCTGACCCGCAGCAGCAGCGTTTATGGAGGAGCTCCCGTTGCTCGGCAGCACTCCTTGCATCCCTGCACGCAGCCCAGCACGCAGCCCTCGGATCGGAGCTCCTGCTGCGGGAGTACAAATGTTGGCAAATCCAATTTCTTCCCCGCAGTTGTAATCAGTAAAGCTGCAACGGTAAATTGATCAAGTTCTGGTCGTTTTCTCGCGCAACGAAAGGGCTGCAGGCCGGACCGCGCCGCCTGACTGACGACTGACTGACTAGGGGCCGCTGCGCCGCGCGCCCTCGCCCCACCCTGAGAACGAGCCAATCATCAGCGCCGCTCAGCGAATTGGGCGGGGCACGACTGCGCGCAGCCAATGGAGGGCGAGCGGCGGGCGGAGCGGCCCAAAGCCGCGCTTGGGGTGGGGGGGGCGCGGCGGCGGCGGCGGCAGCGCTGGTGGCGGTGCGGCGCGGTGCGGCGGGGCCGCGGGCGGCCGCCATGTGGCCGTGCGGAGGGCGGCGGCAGCGGCGGTTCGGGGGCGTCGCGCTGCTCCTCCTCGTGCTGTGGCTTCTGGCACGCAGGTGAGAGCCGCCGCGGCCCCGCCGCTCAATCGGTGCTGAGGGCCGGGGGAAGCGGGCTTGGGGGTGGGCGGGGCCGAAAAATGAAGGTTTAGGTAAAAATAATGATAATAATAATAACTAAAAATCGTCAATTTCTTTCCGATAACGGGGAGCTGCGCCCAAGCCGTGCGACGGCCCCGGGTTCGAGGCCACCTGCGGCCGTGCTGAGCGCACCTGAGCCCCGCAGGAGCTGGGAGCTGCCGATGGGCGCAGCGCTGTGAACTTTGTGCAGCACGGGAATGAATTGGCCGCTGCTTTATGGGCGCTCAGGGGCGGGGAATCAAAGGAACGTCTCCGGTTATCGCAGCGCACATCGGCTGTTAGGTGCTCGCCGAGTGGATTGGGCTTTAAATAAACACGGCGGTAAAATGATAACTATTTATTGCCTGCTGTGAAAGCGCTGGGTGCTGAAGGCGTGCCGCCCGTTGACCTCATGCACTGCATCAGAGCGCCGATGGATCCGTCCTCTGCGCATCGATCCGAGCGCTCCGCCGGCCGTCGTCCGCGTGTGTCCGTGTCATTGCGAAGCGATGGCGGTGGGAGCACGGGAGTCTGGCTTCACCGGGAGTGGATTTGTTGGACGCCGTTGGTTGGCACGGAGCGTTGCCCCGTGGCTCGGCTCACCTGAAAGTAAAGCACTCTGAAATGCGCTGCTGGTCACTGCGATGTGGGCACGAGAAGGCAGCTGGAAGCTTTCACTTTTCTGAAGTCAAAAGAAGCCTGAAATAAACAACAAATTCCTCTTGGGCAGCTCTAAGTAGGGCTTAGGGATTAGCTGTAAAGTCCTTTGTCCTCTGAAGCGCATCCTTTAGTGTTGCCAAAGACAGCTCGCAGCCCCTTGCTTTATTCCCCACTTCTGACTTTCTTTTCCAGCATTCTCCTCATCCTGAGCACATGGTGCAGGGCGATAGCCAAACTCCATCACGCCTGGGGTGCAGAGAGGACCTCAGTCTTCCCAGGCCTCTTTGGTGACAGAAGCTGCTGGAGCTGGGAGGTGGGAAACTCGGAGGGGACTTTTCAGCCAAGTTATGGCCAGGATTAAGAAGATGAGATTAAGAGATTAGTTTATTTTTATCTGGCCACGTATGCTTCCTGAGCGCCGTGTTCCTTCTGCCTCCAGTGACACTGTTTGCATCGGCGCTGTGTGCAGGTGTAATTCAGGGCTTTGTCTGGCTCACAAACAGATTTGATGTATACTGTTTTCCAAAATTGGAGCTTCACATCACCTGAACTTTTGAGCTTCCTGCCTCAGGCTCCCCCAACCAGTTCCTCAGGACAGTGCTGTTGCTCCTCAGCCTTAAGTCATCATTCCCTGGCTGTGCTCAGCTTCTGGTGGTGGTTCCTATCCAGGCAGTCATCCTTTCAATACGACTGCCATTCATTTCATGCTGATTTCTTCTTCTTTGCAGCTGTGCTGTCTTCACAAAAGTTCTGCTGTTCCTGTACCACCTTCTGAATGGGATCCATTACTAAGTCTTTGTTCAACGCCATTTTCTGTAAATGATTTGATAAATGCACAAGTACTCATTGACTGAAGGCAGTGAATTCTAACCTAGACTTGCTTTTCCAGGTATTACCCATGCCTGCCGCCTGTTGTTTCAGAGCCCTGTGAGAATGCTGTTGTACACAGGTACTCTGTGCTTGCCAGCCAGCCCTGCCATATGTGGGAAGCCCTAGATTTAGTTCCTCGTAGTGTCCCTGTCTCATGCTGGAGGACAGGTAATGGCTGCAGGCTCCTGGGCAGTAATCCCTGTAGGCTGTGAGCTCTGAAAGCCTTCACCCTCTGCTAACACCCGCTCTGCACTTAGTATAGAACACAGCCAGAGGCTGGGGCATTTCCCTCTCCAAATGTGACTTTTTCTGAAATGTGTGGGTTGCTGTTTTCTTGAGACTGGAATTCATTTCTTGCATCTGGCTGTGATGATGTCTCAGTGGAACAAGCTACTATTGTCCAGCTCTGTTGTGTATTCATGTATGGAACTGGGGTGGTCTGATGGAGGCACTGTGGCTGCTTTGGATCTGGACTAGCTGATAAGAAGGTTGTTTTGATTCAGCCAAAATGAAGTGGGGAGCAGTGCGAGGCAATAGGAGGTAGTTTCCTGCATGCAGGAACTGACCTGAATGGAGCTGTGCTATAAGCATTCCAGCCGGTAAGTGCTTCAGAACCCGACGTCTCATTTGGTCTGGTTCTTCATTAAGGAATGCAGGCGGATGTAAGTTTGTGATGACAGCAGACGCCGTCTTTCCTGAGTGATGAACTGAATCTCCCTTTAAACTGAGGGGGTGACGCCACGAATCCCTCGTAGGAGGACGTGCTCCTTTGCTGCAGGCTGGCTGCTCACCTTTCCCCCTTTCTCTTCCAGGTTTAACTGGAGCGAGCTGGTCCCGCTGCGGCTGTGGGGCAGGACGCTGGGGCTGCAGACGGAGCGCTCACAGTTCCTGTTGGAGGGAATGCCTTTCCGTATCTTCGGAGGTTCAATGCACTATTTCCGAGTCCCCAGGGAATACTGGGAAGATCGCATGCTGAAGATGAAGGCGTGTGGTCTGAACACCCTCACAACGTAAGCGTGCTCTCTCCTCTCCCTGGGATATGTGCCTGCAGCCCTGATGGCTGCTGGGGATGTGGTGGCGCCTGGTGATGTCTGTTGGTACTTGTCATGGCAAAAGATGAGTTTCTTGTCCTGCCAGCCCCTTTAGCATCTGTCTGTGGTTTACACAGCTGCAGTGTCTTCAAATTTAGGTTGTCGCTTAAATGTAGACAGTGATTGCTGTTCCTCTTTGCTGATCTCACTGTGTTTGGTGGTCTTGAGAAACTCAGGTACTGCAGAGTACAGGAAAAGAGTGCAGCAAGGAAGGGGCTCATGACAAAAAGGAAAGAGGCACAGATAATATTTAAGTAGGGACTTTGTAATGTGTGCATTCTGTGATCCCTGAATCTGTTACTAAGAAATGGAGCACGCAGCCTTTTTTCTTCTGTGCTTCACAAACACAGCGCTTTGTTGTCACTGCCCTGACTTTGCCTTTCAGGTATGTACCATGGAACCTTCATGAACAAACACGAGGGAAGTTTGACTTCAGTGAGAACCTGGATCTGGAGTATGTGGCGCAAATATTGTCATTAAATACTGGGGGGAGGGTGTGCGTGTTGGTTCTGGGTGAAGATAGCATTTCCAGCTTCTGAAGCAAAGCCTTGCCTTGGCCTGGTGATGGAGACCATCACTTCTTCCCCTGCTTCCCAGAGCCCTGGGAGCTTACAAGTTTAGCATCAATCCAGTGTAATCATTTCACCTAGCAATTCCTTTCTGGTTCTGGTACCTAAATTCTCATGGTGATTGGTGTATTAGGGGAACTTGGAGTAGGGATGCTGCAGTCAGACAGTAATCACAGTGTCTGCATCTCTAGGGCCTTCCTTTCCCTGGCAGCTAAGAATGGGCTGTGGGTGATTCTGCGTCCTGGACCTTACATCTGCTCAGAGTGGGACCTCGGTGGCCTGCCCAGGTAAGTGCAGGTGAATGCTCATCGTGTGTTGTTGAACTTTGCTGTGGAATAAAGATAGTAAGCCTGGAAATGTAATCCTTTTATTTTATTTTTGGTGGGGGGAGGAATTACGTTGTAAAACAATAGCTGTTATGACATAATGGTTACAGCAGGAAAACAGAATTGAGGAAATCTGTCTTCATTGCTGTTGCAAGTTGACTGTCTTCATAATACAATCAGTAGCATCTGCAGCTTGATGAAAGGATTCGTTTAACCTCAGGTCCATTTTAAAAGTCCTGCTGGAAGATATGTGTGATCTGACTGGCAGTGATAAAGTCCTGAGGTCCTGTAGCTTCTCCAAACTCCAGCTGTGTTTTCTCCTAAAGCACACTGCTTGTTGGTAGGAGCCCTTGGGAGCTGAGCTGAGTACGTCAGTAGTGAGGCTTGCTTGGGTACTGGATCCCAGTGGAACCAGTGCCTGGTTACACACCCCTTGTTTTCCTTCAGTAGAGACACGTGATGAAACTTGGGGATTCTTTCTTTCAGTCTTTTATTTATTTATCTTTTCAAAATGCCTTTTGTATCCTGCACGGTTCAGGTACAGAACTTCGAAGGTGATTTTTGTGAGCTCACTGAGCTGGATGTCTTCCCAACCTCTGAAAGCAGAACTCACTGATGCCTTTTGCAGAGGCAGGGGGGGTGCAGTCTTCCTCTGCTTATATTGTTACAGCAGTGCATGCTTCTGCTCTTAGACTGCCTGTTTCTGTGTTAACCCCCAAACAGCCAACTAAATCTTGTAAATCAGCAGAAGAGACCATGGGAACAATTACTGGAACCATTGATTTGAATGATGATTGGGGTTTTATGAGAGAGCACTTAGCTGTAGGGTGCTTTTGGGGATAGGGGCAATTCTGGAGTAACCTTAGAGTGATAAGCTTACCCTTTTGTACTTGTTGGTTTGCTCTTGAATAATCCCCTCTATAGTTATCACTTACGCTGTTGCAAACAGCACATGAAGAGCAGGCAGGATTGTTTTGCCTTCTGCATTATCTACATACAAGCGTCTGCTGCAGCAACTTTGTTTCTGCAGCCGTGTTTCTGAAGTT